AAAAAATAAGAAAAAAAGGAAAAAAAAATAAGAAAAAAAAATCACTTCTGGCTTTTGCTCAAACCCCCCGAACCCGTGCCTGCCGCTTGAAAAAAACGAGCCATTGCTGGAGCGAACAGTCCGTATAAGGCTGGTCCCCACACATGAACCTGCCGAGAGGAGGGAGAAAAAAAATACATTAAACCCAGGAAAGGTTGGCCACGTGTGGGCGGGTCTTGGAAGTCAAGTGGATGAAGACAGTGTTTGCAGATGTGAAATTGCGGGTTTTGGGCGAGCTCCGAGCTTCCACCATTGGTGATGAGTGGTATAACGTGTCAGTTAATTACCGGCGTGGGGAGGGCCCTTCCGCGGGTGCGTGTGTGTGTCAGCGAGAGAGGGAGGGTGTGATTTTCTTCTTTCTTTCTTTCTTTTTTTCTTTCTTTCTTTTCTTTTTTTTTAAACGCAGTATTTACATACAAAGAGCCCTGCACCAGCCCGATGTTCCCCACGCTCTTTCCACTGATTGCCTTGAAAAGCAAGAAGGGGGGGAAAAAAAAAATAATAGGGAAAGGGGGGAGGAGGGGTGAGACGTGCGCGGTTTCCCACTCCTCCAGCGCAGCCTGCGCGCCCACGCAAAGGCGGGGGCAGCGCTTTTTCTTTTTTTTCCCCTTATTTTATTTATTTATTTTTTTTTCGCGGAGACGCGGGGGACCGAGAGAAGAGGCGGCTCAGATGGCATGAGACCAACTTATCTACAACGCCTAGGTCAATATTTTGGTTGGGGCTTAGGGATGAGCGCTGGAAATTAAACAGCAAGTAATTGATTCTAGTTTGCTCCGAAATTAACCGAACTGGCAAAACGCGATCGTCAGTCACGACCCGGCGAGATCCGGGAGGTGATTACTTGGAGGGGGGGGGCTTTATTTGAAGAGGTCTCATTGATTTTGCCTCCTTCTTCCAGGGGAATAAAACCCAGCACGATTGGTTACAGCTGGGTTATTTCAATGGGCTGGAGTCCAACCGACTTTCAAATATCATCGACTTAATTATTCTATTTTTTGTTTTTCAGGGGTGATGGAGAAGAGGCTCCTTTCTCCAAAACGGGGTTTGGGAAGGCCGGATCTCCCGGTTTTACCCACGGCGCCGGCAGCCCCGCAGCATCCCCGGCAGGTCCCGTCGGAGTTCCGCGGCGGCGGAGGCTCATCCCGCCCAGCGCTGGGCTGCGGACCTGCCCCCTCCCCAACATCTTCCCTCTCTATCCGTCTGCCATCAACTTTTATTTTTCTTTTCCTTCTTCTTCCCCTTTCCTGCACCCGCCGAGGACCCTTGACCGTGCGCACCCTGGCCGGGCACGGCCCGGAGCTTCCTCTTCCCCTTTCCCT